TATTATTATTATAAATTTTATAACGACAAAAAAAAAAGGAAAAAAAAAAATTAATTCATTTACATAGAAGATGCAAGGAAGGAACATAAAAATTGTAAAAGGTTTTTTTTTTAATAAAAAGAACCGTAATAAAATTTAAAAAAAAAGAAATAATAATAATAATAATAATAATAATAATAATGATAATAACGAAAATGGCAAATATATGTAAAAAAAAAAACGATCATAAAAATTGTTATTGCCATAAATGTTTTAAAAAGTTTTAAAATTATAAAAACGATGTATGTGTGTATATATAAATAATAATTATGAAAATGTTTAAAGGAAAAAAGAAAACAAACACTAGCAGACGATATTTTTTTTTTTTTTGTGACAGATAAAATTCTTATTGTTATAATCATCATCATCATTATAATTCGCGTTAAAATTTTTAAATAATGTTTATGTATAAAGCAAACGACGATCGATCGTATTAAAGGGAAATTTTTTTAAGTTTGTGTATTCGGGAGGGAAAAAGTAAAAATGGCGGGAAATTCAAAAAAAAAAAAAATTTCCCTGTCGCGCTTTGTTTCCTTTTTTATAAAACTTTTAAGAACCTATTAAAGTTAAAATTTTTTTGGGTAAAACTTTAACAAAACCTCAAGTTTTAAATTTAAATTTAAAAAAAAAAAAATTTTCTTTTTTTTGGTTTTCGAATTTTCCAGAAAAAAAAAATTTTCCGAATTTGAAAAAATTTTTCGAGTCAGATTTAATTTAACTTTTATTATTATTATTATTATTAAACAATGTTTTATTATTTTTACAACAAAAAGGAAAAATTTATTCTTCTTATATAAATAAATAATATAATTGTTTAAATAATAACGGTTTTTTTGTTTACATTTTTTTTTGTTATAAACAATAATAAAAAAATTTTAAAATAATTAAGAATTTTAGTCAGTTGTTGTTGTTGTTTATGTTTATGTTTTTTTTGTGGGGGGGAAAGGGGAGGGAAGGGTAGGAGAGACGCCATTTTGATTTTAAAATTGAAAAAGGTAACCGTTGTTGTTGTTGTTGTTGTTGTTACGGTTCGATTATTTTTTATTATTTTATTTTATTTGGGTCATTTCCAACAGAAAAATTTTTTTTTTTATATATATAAATAAATGTTAAAGAAAAAAATTTTATCGAAAAGAAAAAAAAAAAAAAGAAATTTGCCAATAAATTTTTAAAATTATCGATAATAAAACGTGATTAAAATTATGAAAAGAAAAGCCGGAAGTGAATTTTTCATCACGTTTGATTTTAATTTTATGTTTTTATAACAGGAAGTAATAGACAATAGGGAGGAAATTGTTGTTAACAATCAAATAAAATAACGTGGAGGTTAATTTGATAAGAAAGAAAAAAAAACGCGGGAAAATATTTTTAATTCCGATCGTAAACAAATTGTTTTTTTTTTTCTGGTGACACGACAACGACGACGACGACGACGGGAAACAAAAGAAACAAACCACGAGATTTTAGTAGGAATACCGAAAATAAAACGTCTCGTAGGGATTGTTTTCCTTTTTTTTGTTCATCCTTTTTTTTTCCTTTTTTTTTTCCTTTTTTTTGTTCATCCTTTTTTTTTTTCTTTTTTTTTCCTTTTTTTTGTTTCCTTATATTTTTCTTTTTATTCGATTATATTTTTATTTCGATAATCTTTTCTGCTGACGATTTTCTCCAGGGTTTTTTTTATTTACAATATTTGTTTCCGTTCAAATAATTTTCTTTTTCTTATAGTTTTTTTTTTTCTTTTTCATTTTTTCAACATTGCGATCGAGTACATTTTTTTATTTATTATTATTATTATTATTATTATTATTATTATTTATTTATTTATTTATTTATTTATTTATTTATTTATTTATTTTTTGTATTTTTGTTGTTGTTAAGTTGTTTGTTTTATTTATTTGAAAAACATAAATCGTCGAGATTTTTTTCGTTTTTTTTCTCGAAAAATTTCCTTTCTTGTTGCTGTTGTTTTTTTTTTGGGGGAGGGGAGCGGGAAATTTATTTGTTTTAAAATGTCATTTTGTAAAACCGGAAGTTATTTTTTTTAGTAAAAGAAAAATTTTTAAGCGTGTTCGCGTGCGCGTGTGCGAAAGAAAA